CCAGTGTTACGTCTATGTTAGTGTCTCCGGCTTCGCTCTGATATGGGCAATTGTTGCTTGGCTCGTTCAAGACGGCTAGATTGTTGGAGGCGATCCACTCCTCCAACTCTTTGCCTCTGCTGTCTAGTGTTTTAGAGAACCACAGACCAGATTTTGCGTTAGCGTCGGCTGTGGCAATGATGCGGCGGCCAGCCCGTTTCCTGAGGATTGCATCCAGCTTACGCAGAAAGCTGTTTATGTCAACTGAAAACTGCATGTAGCAGTTTATGAGGTAGAAGCTTTCCTTATAAGTGCATATTTCTACGCACATTACATGATCGCATTCTAGCACCGATCTTTGAAAAATGTCGTATTCCCTATCTCTGACTACGATCGCACCCCAGGGATTGTTTGTTTCTGGTTGTAGCACTCTCAGTCACCTTTTACTCTACCATTTTATGTGATGGTTAAAATTACATGTAACCTTTTACTTTACCTTTTAAAGTGTACGGTTCTTGTATACACAATATATCAAGTCCCAATTGATGTAAGATAAACTCCAAATTAGCAGCTGCAGATTTGGATCTTTGGGCGTTTACTTGGGCTGCTTTCAATCCCATGAAATCTTTATAGATTTGTAGTTGCTTCTCGTATTCAGGACACAATTTCCAGGTCACTTTGTGAGCCACATCTTGCCGCTTGTTTCTAACGCATTTTGCATCTTTGTCCATGGTGCAGTCACTCGAAATGTGTTCACTGCTACCACATTTTTCGCATACTGGTTTTTCAACTCTGCATACCCTTGCTATGTGACCGTATACATGACATTTATAACATCTGGGTATTTTTATATATTCGCTTACCCGATATGTGCGCCAGGTCATGTAGATTCTGCCTACATTTAGCAGTCTACTGGCGTACTTTCCTGACAGTTGAATTATCCAATTCAATTTGCCAAACTCATTTTTAAATTTTGTTACAATTTTGGTGTTATTTTTCAGAAGTTCAGCTTCCGTTTCTTCTAAATATTCAAAGTTTTTTGCAACTAGACTGTCGAGAAAGTCTTTTTCTTCGCAGTCATTTTCTACGTCATATATAATTATTTGAGGTTGTAGCTTTTTGGGCTCCTCAACAATTAATTTCTGTGCGGTTAGGTTAGATTTCTTTATTAATTATACATTTTTTTTAGCTTGAACTTCGATGACAATTCCTTTGTTTCTAAGTTGTCTCATACTTTTAACTTTAACTTGCTTAATAATTCTTTAAGGCCAGTTTTGATAATGTCCTTTAATTTGCCATTTGAGCGAGTGTCAGTTTTACTGCACTCTGGCTTAATATATACAAATTCGCTTTTGCTTTTTTCTATTATTTGAGTACTAGCGTTGTTTGCTGCCTTTGCAGCTGCGTTTGCGTACGACAAATTGGCGCCGTTTTTACATTTTTCATTATACATTCCTTGTGCCTTCTCTCGCTCAACTATTTCTTTCTGGAGCAGGCTTTCTGGAGGAGCATTGTCTCCAGGTTTGACCACTTTTCCAATATAAATTTAATGGCACATTTATTAATTTTGTTGGATTCGGTAAAGAGGAAGCTTTCTAGGGCTTCTCTTTCTTTTTTGATGCAAATCATTCTATCTGATAATAGACTGTTTTTGCTAGTTTCAGGGGTTACTTCTCTTTTTGCCTTCTCTTTCTCTTCATTTTTGGTTTCTGCTTTTTGAGCAGTAGCCTGTTTTGACAACGAGTTATCAGTTTTAGGTTTTGTTGTTTTTTGAGAATTCATATTTGTTTCCACGAGTACGGGAGAATATTAGTCGGCCCAGGTAGCGCTACCAATGCCTGGGTAATAAGCCTATTACTGCCGAGGTGTCGGCTGGTGCTCCGAGTTGGTCGCTCGTAGCTGTATTCCCTCACAGCCATTCACTCCTTCGGCGCGCGCCTTACCTTAAAGTTGAGAGTGTTTTTTTTATAGAGGATCCTCCTTCGTGACCCGGGCGATTAAGCCAAAGACCCCCGCTCTCCAGAGACATGACCTAGAGCTTGCGGTATGTGCCGCTTTTATGTGGGATCAAAGTTGTTCTCGCCCCACAACCTTCCTCCTTTACCCGGGCTTAGGACCGGCAGCAGTGCGCGAGGACATCTGCAGGCGGAGTTCTAGGAGCGACTCAGAAGGAAGTACTGTCGGGGGTATTATCATTACCGCCCTGGCCGTGGCGATAGTTTCTTTGCCCACCGCGGTAATTTCCGCGGCCGCCGCGTTTTGTTTACGCGACCGCCGAGGTTTTTTCCTCCATGATCTCCGCCCCAACTCGCATCGTCTGTGGACTAAAATAATAATTAATAATATTATAATAGCTGATTGCTATGTATTTATGTATTACTATAAAAATTTAACATTACCTTTTTGTAACTATACATTCTTACTTCTTTATCATTAAAAAAATCCAGGAAGTACGTCTCCACGTTTTCACTGTCTTCTTATAATACCCGTAGGAGAGATAATAAACGCTCCTCCTTTTCAAACTGCAATTTTATGGTGTCGAAGCATAAATTAATGCCCTTCATTCTGTAATCTATTATAAAAAAATGATAATGAAAAATCCCTAGAAATCAAAACACTAGAAAATATTTTCATTAAGAAGAGGTGCCGAATGAATCCATCTGAGCATATATTTCTTACGATTACAATAACGCATATGAAACATACATTTTAAAACTGAATTGTAAATTTAAAGTATAAACCTTTGAATATTTTTGAAAAAATAAATAAAAAAAAAATGAAAATTTTGAAACGTTTGAAACGTTTGAAATATAGATTTTTTCTATTTCTAAGTGTATATATATATATATATATATATATATATATATATATATATATATAAAGAAATATACCTTTGTTATTCTCCGACACCCCACACTACAAAACCGTGTGTCAAAAACCGTATGAAACATCTCCTAATTTCGTAGGTCTCGTTGATTCTGCACTCGAGCTATAATAATAAGAATGTTCTAATTATACACATGTCCTGAAGAATAAAAAGTGGATTTAAATTACTTACACAAGCCTATCTTCCCAATGGGACTCGGTGTGACAATCCGTTAATATTATAAGTATTTCTTCTTTAGGTATTTCACTTACTAGTGTGAAATTCCCTATAGCTCCCGCTATTTTATTTATGGATGCTAGAAAGATAAAAACTATAATAATAGAAAAGAAGAAATAGTTTTCAAATAAAAATATATCTTATATATTAGAATAATATATGACTTTGCTGTATGATTTACATTTGTTATATTTCATTCTATCATTCAACCGATGTCTGAACATATAATATAAGGATGAATATGAAATAAAAAGATTCATATTCAAGCGTAAATTTTATTTGGTCTATCTTGTATGTATGTATCTATAACCTGAAAAACGATTGTTAACAATTGCAAAAAGTAGGCTGAAATCGTTGTCGAACTAATATAAAACACAATATTATTACTTTATATTCATAATTATTTATTAATATTCATCACTGATTCAGTTAATAAGATAAATGTAAAAAATGTGCCAAATAAACACTGGCAGACCCTCGACTAATTTATCAAAAAAAAACACAACTTTCACTATGTTGACCGTTTGGGCATTCTTCGAGAGAACCTCTAATCACTTTTTTCAACTTTTCAATACAATAATTAATGAATATTCACTTTCTACAACTTTTTAATACAATAATTGATAAATATTTGCAATGATTTACACTATTTCAACATATCTTCGAACATATTTTGACACCGCAGATCAGGTCGGTTGGTATCAATGTACTATGACATATGTAAAAATACTTGATTGTAGGTTAAGGATTTTTATGTCAAACAAAGACAATGCAAAATAAATAAGATTTAATTAAATAAATTATTATATTTTAATCATTTTCATAAAAAAAAATCAGGTTTTAAATGTTGCCGATAGGCCACGCCCACGAAACTGTCAAATACCTGAGCTTGCCAGTTGTGAGTCTGTCATCGCTACTGTTTGGTGATACTTCTCTCTTCATGATGGTTTTAGTTTATAGTGTAATTGTTTGTTTCTAATCCGAGAATATATGAAATGAATAAACGTAAAAATTTTGCTGATTTGTCTAAGAGAAGTATGCAACAAATTGTAAAGCAAAAGGTTGATAATTTTCAAAAGTTTGTGAATCGAATCGCGAGAACAATACTGCTTTTTCTTCAACTAGTGGTGGTACAAGGGATACTAGTGGAGACGTAACCGAAGCAAGTTTAGTTTGTCAATTGAAAATCGGGTCTCGTAATGCATTATTCTTAAAAAGCTTTTTTAGAATTATTCTTAGTGACCTAGTAGTTAGGTAGCTGCATATGAATTATTATGGGTTTATGAATTAAAATAACCTACGCACAGCCATGTTCTATACTTAAACTCCAACGTACTGATAGATTATTCTTAATTACTATACTAGCGGAGTATAGTATTACAGCTATAAAGGAGTATACGAAACGGATAACTTATAACGGATGCCGACGGAGGGAATAGCCTTATAAAACAATATTACATCTGACCTTTGCTGGAACGGGTTCTCCTCTCCTGGCACAACACACACACCACTATACACAAAGCGGGTCCAGCGCCTGGCGCGTGCACCCACTGACCTCCTCAGAGGATGATACAATTCTTAATGCTGACTTTCAACCCCAGACTGGACCTTATATTGCAGGCACCCTAGTAGACGTAGGTGGGGGAGCCGAATTGCACCGAGGGTTATGCAACCCTTTTGACGAGAATACCAATTGTCGTAACAATATCACGATAAAATGCAGTTCTTTAATATAAGTGTTACAGTTTATCAAATTTTTAGATAATAGTAATTTCAATTTAATGTAGACAAAAGTGTGCCTAATAACCCTCGAAATAACTTTCGGTCTATGGCTGGCCGCTTACTTCTAGAGCCAGTAGCCGAGAAATGGCGTAGCTCTTTGCCCAAAATAAAGCTTCTCGCTCTACACTGGTCCATTCGTGTCCTATAGCACTCTCCGACACATGCTCAATATATAATTTTCTTGTTTTTGGCAGATAAAATCCACATCCTGGTGATAGTTCCTCCTGAAATATTGGATATTAGCTTGGGTATTGTGATATCTTTCAAAAGATATTATTTCAAATTAAGTTTATTTATTTATTTACCATGTTATCACCAGGTGTGTAAAAGTGTTCGGGAACCTATATTAATAGAAAAAAGAGATGATTTGCTTGTACATATGAAAGAGATGAGAACTTATTATGTGAACCAATAGTTTAGATACTCTTGAAATCTTTTGAATCGATAGCTATCAAATATTAATCATCACATTTAAATTATTTAATTTTCTAAAAATAATATCTAATTTATCTAGATATTGAAATCCACTCTGTGAGATAAATAATATAATAATGTTATTAATTACCTTAAAATAATCGTGTGCCTCATCTTCATCTTTTTTGCTCTGAAGCCTATAAGCATACTTCAGTACGGCTCCCCAAAGCTCGTGTTTTTTATGTCTTCCTTGGTAACTAATCGAATATGAATATGTATAAGCACATTAGAATAACTCTACATTAGAGAACATTATTGTTATTATATTATAGTATACCTTTTACTGGATACGCCATTGCAAGTGATTTGGTATGCTCCTCAGAGAATTCAGTAGAAATTTCTGAGTCACTGCACACATCTGCTACCAACTGCTTCAGATGGATTTTCTTCCACAATAAAAATCATGTCCTCGTTATTATCAAACACATTATTATCAAAAATAGTTGGCTCCGCTCGTAAGCCTGCATCCATATTCTTTTTATTATTAATGCACGCCACCTGTATTTTCTTCTTGTTCTCTTGTATACCAGAATTATCTTGGATCACTTCCCAAACAAAAACTTTGTTTGGAGGAACATCCAAGCGATCGTCCACCGTTACGGTCAACGAATTTAAGTGCTCAGTATCTTCTAAAATTCAATATTTCTTTTAAAAACAATTAAATTACATTTTATCAGAGAAGAAATGATGATACATACCGCTGATAGCTAGCACTTTCGCTTTTCCTCGACCGGCGTCATAATTTTCGGTTTTCTTCCATGATATTTCTGTAATGGCACCAACATACCTATCTTTCGGACATATACACTTCAAAGGCATGATGTCCGAAGTACCCGATTCAATCCACAACACTAATGCGTTCATGGTGATTCTTGCCATATTTTATAATTATATATAAAATATATATAAAAATATCTTGGGTAAAATCTTGAGAACAACGAAGAGCGAACGATAAACACGTGGAAATAATAAACACAAACACGATAGAGCTTAGGCCGCTAAACGATGAGTAATGCTTCGTTCGATCATTTTCGTCATATTTCGGTCTCACTTCGTAGTTAAGTTGTCTCTATTGGACTATCTCTATATGTTGAACGAGTACGTTAAATATAAAGTTTTCCACTGGTAATTTTTGTTATTTGAGCGTTTGATTTGTTATATATATATTAATTAATAAATAATTTAAACTCTAAAATGATACCAAGAAAATCACTTGATACAGTTGGATCTCGGCAGAGGCAAAAACGGCTAAGGCAAGCTTTTGATAAACGAAACGAGATAAATACTATTCAAATTGTTGAATCTATTCGTAATGATCCTCGTTGTAATAGAATTTCTACAAATTTTGAGAGAAATTAGCAGTTTTAAAAAATAAATATGTAGATGTATAAATTAATTATTTATATATTGATTATTACACCTTGATATGATTTTTTAAATATATTATTATTTTTATTAAGTACAAATCATTTCATTATATAACACATTAAACTAGTGAAATACCAGATGTCTAATATGAAAGAACATTTTGAATATTTTTAAAATGTTATTTTCAATTTCTTCTGTATTCATTACGACTATTTATGAAATGATGAATCCTCTTGATATTTTATAATTATTTATCGTAAAGCGGCTGCTATTTGATACCGAAACAATCGGGCATTTATTGCTTCAGCATTAACTTCATCTTCAACCGAAGACTCATATCAATGTTCAAACGAGAAACATTTTCGCTTCTCTGCAAACATTCAAAATTTTCTTTCATGTTCCAATTGTGTAAAACACAGCATGCTCTTATAAATTGGCAAATAAGTTAGATGTTTTTCATTTTTAAGTGATAGAGTTGCCTAAAATGTTGTTTTAATAACCCAAATGTTTGTTCAATAGTACTTCGAGCACTATTATGTTTTTTATTGAAAGTGTTGAGTCTGTGTGATAGAATTAATATTTCGAAATGGTGTCATTAAATTTGTTTTCAGCGGGTAGGCTGCGTCTCCTAATAAAATATATCGATCAAATTTTGGCATCATGCACTGAACCAGGAGATCCAATAAAAACATCACAAACAGCTTTCATCAGAAAAAATAATTTAGAACATGATTAGAAATTTTAGTATATGAAAAAAGTTACCGCACATTTATGGAACAGTATCCTTTTTGGTTTAAAAATGATCTTGAATCCTTTGCAGGTTTGTTTATACGTATGTGGCACCCATCGATTATTCCGATTACATTAGGAAATCCCTTTTGTGAAAATCTTTCAGCAATCAATAACTTTTCCTCACAATTTGGCCACTTTATAAATTCATAACTAATACAACTTAGAAGAAACTCTTCGAATTATTCTATGCAAAGAACTTAAAGTGATACTAAAACGATCACTGACATCTCTGTAGCTGGCACTTTCATGTCTCGCAAACCACAAAACAATCTGCACCTAAAATTATATTTAACTATAATTTTTTTTTGAACAACAACAAATTTATGTAAAGCACTTATTTTTCCATATATTCCATATGTATTTAAATTGTAGATTGCACTTGCTTCATATCGGTCAGATATTTGTTTACAAACATTTCTGCTCACTCTAACGTGTTCCATAAACTGTGCCTCATCATACAATGGAACCACTTTGTCTGCCAAAATAAGATTACCGTCTATAGCCACATTGAATAAATTATTGATTAATCATTAAACATATTTATGATAGTGTTGATTTATTAATAGTTAAAAATAATATTACAAGATAATTTATAAATTTTTTTAGTAACAGATAGCATTTTATTTACCAAGATAACCCTTATTTCTTTCAACTTCAACGAATTCCGATTTATACCGAACGCAGTCGAGTGAGCTCTGAGTTCGAAACGCGTTGCCAACTGCCATGAAAAAATCAGAATGTTTGGTCTAGTTTGAAACAGTTTCGAACTGTCGGAGAAGATTGGCTCGGATGGAACGAACCCATTAAAGCATGTGCCTATAAAATGGTGGAACAACGACAGTACCTCCATCATGTAACATATATTAATTATAAATTATAATCATACTCATGTTTTAGGCGTTTCCATATTTCTCTTTTTTTTTGTAGTGGCGAATATCAAATGAACTAACAAAATAACAAAATAGAAATGACCATTTTGGTCGTGCACAAACATTTTCGCCATTTTCATTTAATGAATGCTTACACATGAAGTTCGCCACTATCACCAACTTTACAGCGTCAAAAAAATAACTCAGTTCGGTATGAAGAACACTTCATGCTTGTTTTATTTTTCATATAGGTTATATTTTACCAACATGTTCCGCATTATTTCTTTCGCATTATTTCTTTAGTAATCGAAGTGTAATTGTTCGTTTTTAATCCGAGAATATATAAAAGAGTAAACGTAAAAATTTCGTTGATTTATCTAAGAGAAGGGAACAACAAATTTTAAATAAAAAGTTGATAATTTTGTAAAGTTTGTGAATGGAAACGCGATTCAGTACAATACTGATCCTTTTTCATCAACTATTGGTACCAGCTTGAAAAACTTTTGTTGCAATTGTTTTGTTGAATATGAATTATTAGGGTATTATGAAATAAAATAAAATAAGAAAATGTACGAAAAACGTAACCAGAAAAATTGTAACTATCTAGTGAATTATATTTAATTTAAATAATATTGTATCTTGTGTTTTCCTTTGGTAGAGTTTTGCATGGAAATCCATCACATAAAAGCATAACTCGGTTCCAGAAAATCGAAAAAATGGTTTGCGATTTGCCTTTTTTTATTAATTCATAATTATACTTACATGTGCCACTACTTGAGCTTCACGGATATTAAATAGTTTAGTTATATGTGCTACTATTTGAACATACATAATTTTATTTGTTTATGAGTTTCTTGTTGGACAAAAATTAATCTTAAAGATGATCCGCGCATCATTTCAAGTACAAAAAAACTATTGAAATTAAGTATTGTATTGTTGATGTAAAGTGTCGGTAGTTTTCTTAACCCCTTAACTTACAATTTAGATTGGAAAATGTCGGCCCAAAGTTGTTCAAGCTGGCGCGGCGTTGTGACTATTTTTCCTCATAGTGTTCGGATTATCACAAAAATAAAAATAATTTTGTGTTTTATAGTTTCGTATGAATAAATATTTTAAAATACTTGCGTTCACCATACCGGGCCATGCCCGAAATGCGTAATATTTGCTTCTTTCCTGAATATCGTACGCGGGCTATGCCCGTAATATTCACTTTTGGCCTAGCAATCTCTCACGGGCTCTGCTCGCCATTTTAAGTTAAGGGGTTAAATTGTGTTTTTTTTTAATTAAATATTGTTCTCTTTGAATATGTAAAATTTGTTCAAATGTATAGGATTTGGATAGAAATTTTAATTGCTGAATGCTAACAAAGCAAATTGGAAAATATTAAATAACAGGAGAAAAATAAGCAGTGTTATAATTGAAATAATATGATAATAATGAAAAAATTTGATGAAACAAAATATAATGAACTATTGAATTAAAGTAAAAACGCTGTTATTTTTATTACAGCAGTTATGAAAAGAATTTATAGATATAGATAAATAAGTATTATTGGAAGTGAAACAATTTAAATGTTTAGTCCTATTATTTCAATGCGAAACAAAGTCTTAATGTGATATAAAGCAAATGATGCATAGTTTTGCTTCTACATGAAATAACATGAGTCTAAAATATGTCATGAAAGGAGTCAAACTTGGCCCAGATAATAAATATGTACATAATACGAAACGTTCGTGAATAATACACGATATTTTCTGTACAATTTTCAACGATATATGTATATAATAATTATGATTCAAAATTCAAATGAGATGGGATCAGAACATTAACGACTTAGGAATTTTAAAATTTACGACTAATCGTTTAGAAGGCAGGTTCAGATGCGATAATGCCCAGAGGAAATGGATTGTTAATGAATGACCCTTGTGATACTACAATAGAATACTAATAATTTGATTGATATGCCAGACCGACTAGTGACGTGAAACATCTGTTTTGTAAGAAATTTTAATCTAGTCAAAGACATTCAAATTTATCTTACTGATTGAGAAAATAGTTTTCGACCAGATAGAAAGAACATGGGCTTTAGAGATTATTGATTTTCATACATTAACACGACGTATTAAAAAAAAAGTGGTAGTCTTAGTTGAGTCAACGAAATTTTAACAGATCCAATGGACTTTGAGGTATTTTAAATCGGTGACAAAAACAATCAAAAATATTAGCTCAAATGAAATTGGCCTCCATCCATAATCAATCTCAGGAGGGCTGTTTTAATTCGTACGGATTTCTTAAGCATGGATCAAGTGGTATAATTTATTGACAAACGAAAATA